AAAAAAGGTCTCGCAATCAGGCCGCTTCCGCAAAGAGTAGAAAGACGAAAATTTTATCTCTTTGCACTTTCGGCTCCCTTTGTCTTTTGCTTTTGCGTCGCACCGCCCCTTTTTCCGACGGGGACTTAATATCGCGTGCGAGAGCGAGAGACAAGCTCTCTCGCTCCATTGTTTCACGTTCAACTGCGTAATTCGATTTTTTCTCTCTTTCTCTGTGTTTGTGTACGATGCGCCGAGAGTCGAATGGCCGTTTGCTTTTTCTACGGGGAAAGAGCGAGGGACAATGTGCAGAAAGAGAGAGAGAGAGAGAGAGAGAGAGAGAGAGAGAGAGGTTTTGTTTGCCAGCCACCGAGTTTTGCGCGAAATCTCAGGGATAAAGGGTGCGGAATTCGTACTAGCCACGCTATATCAAGTGAATATTTTTAGACGCATACATTTGGACTACGCTATTGAAAAATAATATTGACTGTGGAGATAAACTAATTCTTATATTGCTTTTTGTCCGATTGGCGGTATATATTTGCCGAAGACTGAAAATTCAGTTATTGCACAAACATAAGGGTAACGGGAAATCGTGCAAAGCTTTGACGAAGCTTTGACGAAGAAACTGTTGACAAAGTAAAAGAATGTTTTTCTTAACTCGAGGGCTGTGCCACGTTGTTGTGCTAAAAGTTGCTTTTCTTTTGTTTTAGTCATAATTAAACTGAAATTTTGCATGAAAATACGCTTTTCACTTGATTAAACTGCTTTTTTTTCCTTTTGCTTCATAAAAAAACTAGTTTCAAGTATCATTCTCATCAGACTTACATTAAAATTCAATGGCAGCTTTTTCCATAAAGCGCCGCAGATCGCAAAAATTACAATATCGAATAGCATCTCCCCATAAAACATTCAACCTAAGACCCAGCAATTATTCTCTGACTTTGGCAAAGAGGGTAAACAACTTGGTAATGGAAGCTCATGCAATAAATTTCAAATCGAGCAGCCATTTCGCCTCGGCACGGCGGACGCAGAAGGATTTTACGCCCCTCGCGTTTTCATATCTTTGGAAATAAAGGCGGCACGCTTGCTATGCGCTTATGGAATGTCCATGCGAAAACGTCCGGCGACGACGAGGCGCTTGCGATGGGAGTGAGAATGCATTGGTATATACGTTACGGTGCTGCTTTATCGAGCGAGCTGTAGGCTCTTGCGCTTGCGGCTATTACGAGCCTCGTTTTGTATTATCGTTTATACCGGTAGCTTGTAAAATATTATATGCCTCACCAGACGTCTGCTTGATGTTCGAAAATCGACGGACGTTAATCTTTAGTAGAGTTAGGAGCTCGTTCTTAGCCTAGTTTCGGTATTTTACAACCCTTGATCTGTTGATAGCATGCTGGATGGGCTAATAAAAAAAAGTATTCAACATGCAACACCTTTCGGAAGACCCTTTTTCTTAATCTTACTTTCATATTATTTTCTATTACAACATTTCCATAGCATTTCATCTCTATGATTATTATAAATACTATGTTTTCTCACATTTTTTTAAAACAAATGACCGCGGCATTATCGCTTTCTGGAAATTCATTCACGATCCGCCAAGTTCAAAATCTCAATTATTTTTGACGATTAAGCATCGATGACGCCAACAAAGTTAGGTCACGGGTTTCTTTCTACAAGCTATGTTCCCGCAACTTGCCAGGAAAAATCTATTTGATGCCATCGATGGTCAATCGTCCAAAATAATTTAGATTTTTAACTTCGCGGATCAGAGCAATGTAACTCTACAGGTAAGCTCTTATCGACGCTGTCGGTAATGACCTTTTCTGAATTTCCGGCCAAGCTTTCGTGCTTACAGAAGATAACGGTAATAACTTCATATTTCTCTGTTGGTATAACGAAATCATTTTATTTCTTCTGCGAACGTACATTATCGTTATCGTCTTTGGAAGCGCAAATTATGGAAATAAAAACAATTCATATTTTTAAACATTTTTTACAATCGCAATATATTTATTCAAGTTCATTCGTGTTCTGTTGTCAAATTCTTTATGTAAAATTGCATTTTTATTTTTATGTGCATTTGCATATTTTTCAATGTAAAAAAAACTAATCTTGATCGGCCAAACAAATTTTTAGAAAACATTTTTATATATAGTTAAAAGCAAATGAAATTTCAAACGAAAATTCCCATTATTACTATTAGCTACAATTGAAAATTCACGGTGAAGTTTTAATCAACAATATAACTATTTTCATTGCCTTGTCAAACATTAAATACTTGATGAAACTACTCACAGTAAATTCGTAATCATCAACATTGGATAATTACATACATAGCTCGAAAATAATATATTCATCAAGTTTGCCGACATGTACATGACTTTTGTACTCATAAGATTTACATTCAGTTAATGAATTCCATATTTGTAAAATGTAGTTCTTTTAAGACATCCAAATTCAAACTATCGCGGATTAATCATGTGGTACCAATCGAGTGCCCAATAGTTGTGACATCGCGTCGCTGGTTGCAATAGCTATTCAAATCGATGAAGAGCGTGAGGCTGAATAAACAGTTGAATTTTTACGATAATGTCATTTTTTACGATCTTTCAATAAGAATCCATTGTGTCTTCGCGTTGACGCGTACAGGAAATCGTCCAAAATACGAGAGTAATATATTGGTTTGATTTCCTTATTTATGAGCACACACGTATCGTCATCGAATGTGCCAAGTCGCTATTCATGATTCAATAGTGTTGCTCCTCAATAAATTTCACATCTGAGTACACATAATTAATCAATTACAGAGAGAAATATTCATAAAGTACAGCTCAAACCGTTGAACTTGCTTTCCGACTCGTTTGTTCACTACGACACAATATCAAATTATCGAGAAAAATCATTCAATTTGAACCAATATTTGAATTCTTATTCCATGCAAAACACGTATATTCAAATTTTAAGCACGTTTTTTTCGCTCGAATATTTTTCGCTTGACTTAATATATCTCTAATATTTCATTCTACTTCTTTAAAGTATCGCCTTGTCCAGTCGATTTTTATATTTTTGTCTCTTTCCATTAACTGATAATGCTTTCGATGTAGTCATTCATTCAAAGACTTTATCTGATTGTGAGATGAGTACGCTATTCATGATGTGTAAATCTCACCATTGAGCTTTACTCTATTATTCAAGAAATTTTTTATATTCAATTACATGCTCTTTTTCAAATATCATATTAAATAAGTTTTATAATAATATATCTTTGTGTTTTTGTCAAAGAACTTGATATCTTCGGCAACCAATATAATTCTTAGGTTGAAAATATTTATTAACCTCATTATTTCAATACTAGTAAATTCAACAGAGTTAAAACTTGTTTTCAATAAAATTAAAATTATTTGTATCTGTATAATAATATGTCAACGGGGTCAGATGATCAACTTCGACGACGTTCTCTCGCTCTATTTCAATTGCGTACAGGCGAGCAGGTGTGTGTGCGTCCGCGCACTACGCTATTGTATCTAGTAATAGCGACGAATCGGCTTATGTATTTGTATGTATGTTGCATAATATTTATTCACGTGTATAGATGATTATACTTATAGTTGAATATTTTTTGAGATATAGATCAATCCGACAGCGTGTAATATGATTTTTCACAGGTTTCATAACATACAACATTATTTAATCTTTCATTAAAAACATTTTCACATTGATTTTTTAGAAAAAAATTATTGGACATTCCTGACTTTTTATAGCCGATAAAAGCAATTACAAATTGTTATATATACATTCGAATGTTCTTACTAATGTGAAAATATCAACTTCGTTTCTTTATATAGTGAATAGCTCAAATGTATGAAAAATTATTTTGATTTGCTTTCTATATCAGATATTGCAAAATGATCGGTTAAAATTATTTAGTTTTTTGTAGATTGATTATTATTATTGCATGAGTTCTAATCTCATATTCATAATTAACGCATTCTGTTTTCTTTGCTTGTCATGTTTCGATTTTGATCAAACTTTTGCTGTGTTCACGCATTTCTTTAAGTCATTTCTGAAACTGAAATTAAACAAAATAAAAAAAACATAATTTTTCACTTCTCACCAATTAATCTGTAGAAAAAAGAAATAATATTGTATACTAGTTACTGTATAGGCGCTTTTAAAATCTATTTAATGAAAGTATAGATGGCACACCAATATATTAAGCACTTAAGTTTATTTAGTTATTTAAAAAATTTTTCTCACCAAATCATAATTTATCCAATTCGAGGTCTTCAACAGTAATTATTACAGATCCAAAAAGAATTTTAATTACATTTTAATCACACTTTAACTGATAAACTATATGATATTTGTACCGTCTAATGGCATTTCACATTTTAAAGAGTCGCTTTATTTAATTCCTATTAAAAATATCAATTCTCACGATATATTTACTTAAAAAACGCATGTTTTCCTAACGAATGTCAATATAGAATGAAAATACTTTATTTCCATGACGTCCGAAGAAAATATTTCGAATCAGCTAAACCTCAGCATAAAGACATTATAAAACATAGTGAGTCACAAAATATCAATTACACAGACAATTTATGCCGAAAAGTTAGTAATCTGTCAGCAAAAAATCGAGCGAGGCGCCGTTTTTTATTCTATTATATCATACCCCAGCGTATTGTATCAAAGCGCGACGAATTTTAGCAGAATTATTCATCTATATGACCGTCGTGGAATGAACGCCTTGATGCAAATCACGTGACTTATTTTTGAGACCATCTCTCGTTCACGCGCACTAATTATTTGTCGAAATTAACGCGAGCAAATTGTTTGAACAAGAAATAAAAGGGACGAGAGTACCTGAATATGCGTGAGCTTATCTTGCGACGCGATGTTTAAGGCGCCTAAGCGCGACGATAAAACGGAACGTCGCGCGGGCTCACTGCCAAGTTCACCCGTTGCCATCGCGCATCGAGTAACTTGCGCGTCCAATTTTTTTGCACAAGTCGAGCTCAACTATACTCTGTGTCCGTCGCAAGTGTACGCGGATTGACGAGCCGCGTAGTCGGCTATCGGAGGGAAGACTTTGTTAAGCGGCAGCCACTTCGACGGACACCGTGCTCAATACTGAAATGTGTACTGACAATAATCCTCATGCTGAACCCGTTTGGACCATCGGTGAGTATTTTTGGCACTTAATACTTTTTTGCGATTTATTTTATTTATAAGTGAATTCGAATTGTTTTTTTTTTGTCTCATCTTTCTTTTAGAAGATCAGCAGAAGGTAACGAAAGAGGCTGTTGACTATAATCAAGCCATAGCCGCAATAGGTGTGTAAGCGTCATTTATTTATTATTTTTACGGTAAATTCTTTTACTTCGATGAATTCAATCGACTTTTAAAATTGATATTTTTTCTAGTGTTTTATATTTATTTTTGAGAATGAAGGGCCAATATTGAACGTATACTTCAAATCCAAGTTCCAAATTCATGTGAAACTGTTGAAAAATAGATGAAAACTAAATTTTTCAATGTATTTTCAGTTCGATCGCCCAATAAATTGTTGTCATGGTTGTACCTAAAACGTATTGTATGATATTGACAGCTTTTATCGAAATTTTTCTTGGATAACTTTTCTATAATAAGCTCAATATAAGTAAAATTTAATGATTTTATTTTATTTCGATATTTCCGACTGAAATTCTGCCAACTAAAAATATCGTTTACATAGATTAAAAGGCTATCTGAACTTATACTGAAGCTTGGATTAGAATAGAAGGCTTCTATGAATATATTGTGATTATATGTAAGCAGGTTTTAACAGTAGGTTTCCACTTTTACTCGATATATTTGTAATTTCGAAACTGAGTACGCCGAGTGTGAAGAAATTGTGTCCATATGAAGATAAGTCAACTGACCTAAGTACATGAGTAAATGAGCTTGAACTAATTGGCCTTAGACTTGCCGAGCCTTGTAAAAAGCTCACTTCGCGGGGCAAACTTTTATACACCTTAAAGCATCGATCTTTACTTATGCGTAATGGAATTAGAAATCGAACATTTGAAAATCTTAACCTACGTTCTCCCTGAATTATCTTCAAAATGTTATATCGATCATATATTAACAATAATTTAATAGTCTTTGTTTCGGCTCTGTTAAGGTTACGGCCCGTACAATGTTTTACTATTATTAGCTGCCTTACCTATTGCATGGACATGTCTAGTAGACACCACGAGTACGGCTTTTATCATAAACTCGTCGGAGTGCGAGTTCGAGCTGACGATGTTGCGACGAGGCATTGCGTGTTCTGCAATATACATAGGTGACCAATCGTATGCGCATCTTTTCGGAACAATTGGACAAATGAAAGTATGCAATTTTCGCAGGCATGTCAATAGCAGGCCCACTGTGGGACTTCTTTCTACAAGACTGGATACTCGCTTGCCTCGGAAGAAAAAACGTCATCGTTATCGGCATATTACTTGACGCTGTGTGCAACGTTCTTTGGGCCAATGCTACCTCGTTCTATACCTTCGTAGCGCTGAAATTTGTTAGCGGTTTGCTGTAAGTATTGTTAATTCTATATTATCACGCGTCACAAGATCAATGTATAACAAATTTTTACGGCATTGCCGCTTGTAGAATCGCTGGCCCATTGTCAATTATCATGGCATATCTGGCCGAGTTCCATGCACCATTGTATCAAGTTAATTTTACCAGGTGGGCTGGTCTGCTTGTTATGGTAGCTAACGTATTTGCCGCAGGTACTAATTTCTTTTGCACGTCATTCGATGTAACTTTCTTTTTGTGCTATCGACTAACAGCTTCATTTGACCTTGTCTCGTTACGTTGGTGCTGAGAGAAGCTTGAAAAACACGTATGACAAATTCGTTACATTTATCGTGGCTTCGAATATCAGAGATCGTAAAAGAACAAAACGAAAAACGTCTAATACCTTGTTTTTAATCAGTAGTCTAGAAAATGTGTTATGTCTATATTTTGTTTAATTTGAATTGATGTGTTCAAATAAGCGCCATGATAAATTGTCTAACACTTTTATAACGCGTAGTTCGAACAAATTTGTTTTCTTTCACAGGCACGGCTGCTACATTGTTACGTCAAGCGGACTGGCTTAAGTTTACGATACATAATCACTTTTTCCCAACATGGCGGATCTACTTGCTCGTTTGTGGAATCCCATCATTGTTGGGATTGTTCACGGCATGCTTGTTACCGAAAAGTCCAAAGTTCCTCATTGCACAAGGACGAAATGACGAAGCCTTGAAGCTATTTCAAACGATGTACAGCTGGAATCATTTCAAATCGTCTTCCGATTATCCGGTAGTTAGTAATCAATTTTTATGGTACAAATATTTTGTCATTAAGAAATTTGTAATGATGTGCAGGTGAAAGAGTTGATCGTACAAAGTAAAGTAAGTAAACAAGCGAAAACAGCGTGTAAAGATCAATTTCAAGTCAGTATTAAACAAATAAAAGCATTGTTCTCGAGGTCGAATATTAAGAATACTGTAACGTTAATGTTCCTCCAATTTTCGGGAATGATTGCGTAAGTGATTTTCACGACAATTTTCGGCAGTTAAGATTAGATATTAATTGAAGGATCATTTTAAAGATTCAACGTGATGAGACTGTGGGTTCCCCCGTTATGGGTCACGCTGAATAATTTTCGAGTTTACACTCGCGCATTATATCCAACCGGCGAGCTCATAACGATGTGTGAAATGCTTTTTCCTCGTATCAAAAATATAGATTATTCAGCTTGCAATTACACTCTGGTAAGCATTGTCAAGATAAAATCGCCTTTGAAAATCGATTTTGAGCTGATTTGATGACTTGAGCAAAACAAGTATTCAAAAAACGTGATTTTTAACAGATTTAATATTGATTTACAGCCTCATGTTGAATCAGCTGTTTACGTCAATTCCACATCGATAGTTTTGTCTTGCGCTGGATTTGGATTTTTATTTGCTTTCATTACTACTACGAAAGCCAGACAAATAGTTGTTATAAGTACGTATTTTAAGAGCGCATAATTGACGAACAATCATTTTGGACTAATACTGACAAATAAATCCTGTTGTTCAGTTTTCACACTTTTTTCGTGTACGGTTGGATCCGTCGGTGCCAATTGGTCGATAGACATCCCGTACATGCTTGTGGCAGTAGCATTTGTCATCGTGGCATCCCGAATAACACTCAATACTGTGACTACGTATAGTTCTCAATTCACACCGCAGCCACTGAGGTACCGTATCGAAGCAGCTTTAGTATCCGAAAATTTCCATCGAGTCTTTAGAATAAAATTGAAAATGTTGTTTAGGCCGACAGCTTTGGGTGTGCTGAACTTTACGGGTAATTTGGGCGCCGCCGTTGGCAATGTCTTGTTTGCTGTGATAATCTCGATCGATTGTTTAAGTGCCTTTTTGTCTATAGGATGTATAGCTCTGAGTAATTAACCATGCGTTCTTGAATTCTAATTACTGTTAAAATTCCTTCCATCTTTTCAAACACATGTGCACTTTTATTTGCAGTCTCGACGTTTATGCCGCTTATCTTAATTAAAGCTCCGTCTAAAACGCCGTGCAAGCCAGATCTAGAAAAATATTGACCAAATATCACGAGTTGTTGCGGACCATTCCAGTACAAAAGTGATCTGCGATCATAGTGATTCGTATTAATTTTGAGATATATTGGAACCAATTGTGTGGATCGTTTGAGCTCGCAACGGACGAGCAGAGATACAAAATGGAGTTAACAGTGTGCAGCGCAAGAAACAATCAATGAATAGTAATAAGCTGAATAAAAGAGAATGGACAGACTTATAAACTACTTCGAGGTTATGCAATTGTGAAATTTTTTCTCAAACGCGTTCCAAATAGTTACTATGTTATGATTCACATCGTATATTGTACAATATACGATGCTATAATAAAATTTTTATACAAATAGTTTTAGCATTTAATATTTTTTTTTATAAAAGTCACTCGCAATTTTACAAAAGATACTCGTTGGAAAATTTTTAATAACACTTACAGTTATCAGTTGTTTTTACGTAAGTTAATATTTTCTTACAATAAAAAGATGATTTTCGACATACCACATGAATGTTTACTAATTTGTGATATCTTTGAGAGCCTCTGAGATAATAATGACGCTTTCATAAAAAATTAAACATTATTCATAAACGCGATCAAATTTCTGTGAGCTTCCATATCAGCACACTAGCCGATTTGCGCAATCCTCTGATATTGCTATCGGCAAAGAAGCTTTCTGTTCTAAAACATCACTTGTTTATCCTCGGTTTTAATCATTCAAAGATAGTATATTTAAAATGGCAATCGTGAACTTTGAATTGGAGGAAAATAGAAATTCGAATGAGATATTATCAACCGTTGATATTAGTTAACGCATTTGTAAATTTGGAATCGATATAACGTCAATTCTACAAGTTGCTCTACTGAATTTCGGTGCTTGAGTATAGATGGCACTGTTCTAAGCAGATATCGCTTATAAAGTTTAATTCATCGGTAATTAATAAATAATTGTGTTCCGCTTTTTGAATACACGAGCGTAGCTTCTTCTATTTGTCGTATGACTAAATCCGACATTGTTCAAAAATACATTTTTGAAGGAAAAATGCAAAATATTAACTTTTTATTAGTGTCGTCATTGTTGAAGTTGCAACATTCAAAGTATTTTAATGCCAGTAATTGCCTACCTGTTATGCGAGTCATTAATCTAGTTAACAAGTTTTTTCATGAACTGCGACGTAAAAGTTACAACATTTTCACTAACAGCTTATTATAAGTCGCAGTATCCAGACCACACAAAGTTATACTATTTCATCGAACCGATCGATCAAAAGGCAAAAAAAAAAAAAATTCAACTCTAGAAGTCATCCTCCGACCACACGAATAGCGCATATCGATGAATCCTGAGCCAGCAATGCAGCTTTTTCACAGAAAAAAAAAACTGAAAGAATAGTTGAGCATGTGGCTGATAAAGAAAAATAAAACAAAAGAATAGAATTAAAAAATATCAATACACGTAGCTGGCGTGCGATCCGTCTCGTTCGTTTTTTTCGTTCGTTCGTTCGCCAGTGGAAGCGCGGGCGGGTGGTGCACAGCGAGAGAGCGTAAAATAAATAAAGCCTCACGAGAGACGTCGGAGGGGATGGCAGTGGGCAAGAGGACGAGAAGGAAGAGGGGGATGAATGCGTTGACAGTGCGCGCGCAGTGGGGGATGAACGAACGCGCAACCGTTCGGGGAGGTTAGCGAACCGCGTGCAGAGCGAGAGCCGGTACAGCGTGTCTGAGCCTCAGTCGGAATCGCGCGCCCACGCGGACCTCAGTGCGCGAGCAGCTTGCCCACCGATTGCAATTGGACAAGCATCGAAGGAGCGAGGCAGAGCACAGCGACGAGCACCTGCCTACTGACTGGTTTGTAGTGGCAGCGCGGCATCGATCTGTTGATTATCGTCGGAACAGGTCAGTGATAATCCTTCGATTTGCTGTGCTACTGATTATCGAATCCTAGTTTGGCTTTCATTTTCAAAACAAGCGATTATTTGGACAGTTGGTTGAACGCGTCTGATTGCGATTTTCCATGTTCAATAATGCGGATTATCCAACCGATTTCCAGCTGAAACGTATCCAACCAATCCTTAATTAACGGGCATCTCCCTCTTTAATTTTGGACGCGCAGATAGCCGAACGTTTACACGTGCATGTCAGTGTAACGTGCGTAATTGATTAAAATGCCTGAAATTCGACTTCAGTCAAGCAAGCTCTTTTACACTCTACTTAGTTTTATGAATTCAGTATTGCTTGTGTGTGGTTATCAAATATTAATCTTAAGAAGAGCTTTACGAGCTTCACGTGGTCTTTAAAGTTGAAAGCCGGCCTGCACGTGTCGACCTCACGTCCGCCGCTATATAATGCGTGCCGCAGTAAAACGAAGGTTTTTAACAGTATAAAAACTGTCTTCGCATAAATACACTTTACTTACAACATATGTACTCGACACCCGGAATTTACTATATTAAATTTGCTTTGATAATTTTGCCATACAATATTTATACCTATTTTACAATGCACTTTGAATTTATTCTCGATAATACGAATTTCATCATCGAATTGGAAATTTCGATCAAGTTGAGGCATTTCCTACTCTGCATTATTTTATGTTGTCTGCCATAAATGAATAAATATATTTCAAGTGATACAAATGTGGAAAAGCTCGAAATGTGTGATTCTAAATCGTTACGCTCGTAATTTAATTGTAATTAGGGTTATGAAAAGTTTGACTGTAAATTGACTCCAAAATCTGTTCAATTTTGAGTGGCAAAAATAAGAGCCGAAGCAGAGATAGTGAAAAAAAAATAATAAAGATAGTGTTGTATAAGAAATAGCTCGCGTAAAAGCGAAATAGATTTGCCACCAAAGGAAATCCTTCGTCGACAGTCGTGTTGGTACGTACATCCTCTCGTACGAGTCACCGACATCCGCGTCGAGGTGTGATCGTGGTATTCTTATACGTCAATTCAGCAGTTTTTTGCTCCGATTTTTCTTATGTGTCGTCGATAAAAGTAGCCACTAGCTTGTGTTTTCCATGCAAACCTTGTGAGTGTTGATCCGCGGTGTGTGTGTGTGTGTGTGTGTGTGTGTGTGTGTGTGTGTGTGTGTGTGTGTGTGTGTGTGTGTGTGTGTGTGTGTGTGTGTGTGTGTGTGTGTTAATTTCGTTAGTTTTCTCTAGAGAGGGCAGTTTTCGAGGTAACTGGTCGAAACTTTCTTGTTTGTCGAATCTTTATCATGCTCAATTAGTGTTAGTAGCATCTGCTGACTGGCAGATTCGAGGTTTTGTTTGTGCTAGAGGTTGATCTATTTTGAATGTAAACGTGATGGATAATGTAGTTTTGCTTGTCTGCAATTGATGATGTATTAGAGAAGCGTTAATTTACTTGTATTAACTTAAAAATACAAATTTATTCTGAATGGAATTTCACGCTTAGATGGAGAATTGAAGAGGTATTTCTAAATTGAGCATGCGCCGTACTTTACGTTATGAAAAAAATTCGTCTAGAATGAAACGAGTTTCTTCTGCCTTCGGTACAATCTTGCTCCGATAAGTAATTGATCCAAGTCCTGCCAAGAAGTCAAAATGCAAATTGAACCAAGAGAGTAAAAAGAAACTTCTCAAGTGTCCTTTGGCTTTCTGAAATTTCAGCAGTGGAGCGCGTGAATTGGTAAAAAAAGGGGAATCGACACCCAATCGCTTGCCAAATAGTCTCAATAAAAAGAAGCCTAACTACTTGTAATTTTGGCCTGCGTCTCCTTAGCTGTGCGTGCGTGCGTGCGATGGTGTGACCGGCGAAACAGCAGTAGTAGCAGCTCTGTGGCGTGCCAAAAAGGAAGAAGGGTGTGGAGCTAGTGATAGCGGCACTTCACACACAGCTGCTGCTACTACTCTCGTATAAACCGCAGGCTTGCGGATTTGTACGTGCACGCTTCGAGCATACCAATACATCTACATATATACGCTTGTATCTATATGTATATGTTGCTATCCGTAGTGGAGTCATGAATGAACGCTCGTCCGCGCTACGGATCGCGCTAATGGGCGTCCTTTCTTGTGGCCGTTTAACGCTTTTGCTCTTCGCGCAGTGCCTCAAGTCTTCCATTATTTATCCCTAAACGCTCACTTTCCATCGACTTAAATCACGTGCGCGCACCACAGCTATACCGAGAGCTTATCGTCTTTTCTTTTCATTCAGCAAGCATACAAGCTATTTTCATTGCTTCTTTAAGTACTTTCATCTCTTTCTTTTCGAGGACATTCGTTTACTTGTATTTTGGCCGGGCTATTTTTTCATTTTCCATGCACGTTGATTTTCAGTTGCGTGGAAAATCTCACGCGCCCATCCTCTGTGTTTCCATATGGATTGATTTCATTTATTAAGCGGAGCCTTGTTCCATTATAAAAACTCAAATCCTTTTATTTGCACAACCTTTTTATATTCGTTTTGTAAAAAATGCGATAAAAAAAGAAAAGTTGGCATTGTGCGCGTATCTCGAGAGTACCAATATAAAAGATAAAAGTTTTTGTTTGTCAACGGAATCGCTGGAACGAGTGATTTTTCGTTCGCTCGTTAAAATCGTATTGAACGAAATGTGTGTTGAACGAGAATTCATCATTAAAGTGAAAATTCGATCGAGGGAATAATATTGCATGGAGTATTATGAAAATGTAAAAATCAGGTAAGACGCAGCTGGGGCGCCGTATGGAAAGAAACAAGACTTTGACGGCAGTGCAGTTCTCTGACAGCATCTAATTTCACGCCAGAACGAAGCAATTAGGTGAATTAAGCAGCTCGGAATGCATCGAGGAGTGGCGTAGCCACGTCCTGATCTAATTAAAGAAAGCGCTATTCGTATCGATGGTGCACTATGTATTCGCGTCTACCTACGTAAACAGAGACCGGATTGCGAGGAGATTGGCGAACAATACAAATTAGCATTCAAATTTAGAGCATAGAGGGGAAACTCACCAGCCACCGACACTGATACAGCCGCTGCTGCTCTGTCACATCAGTATGCATAGAACCTTTTATAGTTTACATTTAAATCAGTATTCGGCACTTGTATGCGTAATCGAAAACAAGAAGCGTAAAATATCATGGTGTTTGAACCAAAGTAATTGTGCCTGGTTGAAAAAATTTAGATCGATCGTCGTCAAATCCGTCGGCCTCTGCACTGAAAAGATTTTCGAGGTGCAGCGCCCTCTCAGCCGCATAACCAGTCCACACTTAACCTTAAGAGACAATACCTCGTTATTGAGTGGCAGCGACCTGCAATGCGAGGTGTAAAAACTCAAAACTAGACGGAGAGCAGTTCTTCCAATATATCGAGGGACTAGTACTCGACTAGTCGAAGAACTGTTCATTGGGCGCATGGTAAAGTTGAAGTAACCTGCGCTCATATGTATATAAAATTCGTTTTTATTTTAAACCAATACATCAAAAACGCATATTATTTAATACAACACTTAAATATAATGCTTAAATTAAAATTCTAATTAGGGTTTAGTTTTAATTAACAATTTTTAGAATAATATTGAATAATGTAGAATATTTCACATTTTTCTATGTGATGTCAAAAAAAGTTTTAATCATTTCATCACTTCAAAACCTTTCAATGACGCCAATATTGTTACAGTTTTATAAACCAGAATGTGAGCAAACTAGACGTTTCTTGAATGGCCTTTTAGATTGATAAGGTGCGATATTTTTTATAACCGAGAAACAAGGCTCATAATCGGGTAACGCTTCATGATTAATAGAAATATCATCACAAGAACCTCGCTCTACAACATATGAATGGTAATGAGAATCAAAATACGTTTCTCTGTACACTTTTATCGTAAAATATATCCTATTTTTAACAATCGTTATGTCTGTAATTTCACCGAATGATTTAAGTGTCGATGAAACATCCGTAATCAAGAACAGGCCAATTTTATACAATACCCCAGTAATTTCAATTTTTTCCACTTTATGAATTTTACCATCATTAAACTGCTCTACATTCGATTGAGTAAGTTTTGTGAATTCAGCGCAATGTACATTGTAGCATGTTTTAAAAGCTTCTTTCGTTCCTATTGTAATGAGCAAATTTTTTTTACAACTGGTTGATTGGGCAACAGACTTAATAGAACGATGACGCGATTCAAAACGCATTGTGGAAAAGTTGAAACAAGGCCCTAATTCTAATAGCTGTCTCGCATAATGAAGTAATAAATGAAATTTCGGCTTTAGAGAGTGACACAATTTTATATATAACTCATGGTGTTTTTTTACTAGATTTGCTAAGTTTTTGGCTTTTATTCTAGTGACATATCTACATGTAAATATGTCAAGCATTTGCCTTAAATATTTGATTAATTTCCAATACTCATCGTCTTCATTAATGAAGTTTCCAATCATTAAAGGTAGGTATCTCATCAAATTTAAAACTTCTGCCGCTGACATTTTCAAGGTATCATTATCTTGCAATCGTTTTATTTTTATGATAGGCGGTTTATTGACAGAATTTGATGACCCATAATCAAAATTTTCAATAATATTGTTTAATGTTTGCAGAGTAAAATACTTTTTTTTAAAAATTAAATTGCAAAATACCACATGTAAAACATATAAACAAACTCCCTCCAAGTAATCATGCATCATATCCAAACTACAGTTTCGAGTGAGATGGAAATTGTCAATGTTATGGAAAATGCACAGCTCTCTCACGCCAGTCAGTTTTACGTTTTTCAGATGAACGTCATTCAAATAGTTTGTTTCGGTTCTAAGAATATTTTTATCTTCAAAAGTCAATCTAGATGCTAACTCGACAGTACATTTGCAAATCCGACAATAGTAATCGCTTTTAAATGATTTTACAAAGCCAAATATTTCGTTCAAACCAAGGTTGTCACCCAAAACTAACAC